TAAACAAGCGGCCATCTAGCTAGGAAGCATCAAAGCCCACATGGAAGAAGCACACCAGCCTGTTTGATCACGAGGTGTCAAAGGGATCAGGTAGCAGGCATCAAAGAACAAAAAATCTTATTATTGTAAATGAGGGTGAGTGCAGAGTGGAGACCCAAAGCCCATTTGTAGGCAACTGGCCACCCCCTTACTGAAGGGTCACTAGGAAGAGACAAGTCAGTCAGGGTGTAGTATAGCAAGGATGAAACATACAACTTTCCTCTAGTTCTTTAATGCGTCCTCCCTACCCCCACCCCCACCCCCACTATCATGGCCCCAATTCTCCCTTAAAAATCTGGCTAGACCAGAGCATATACAAGGATACAGATAAGAGCTAGAAACACAGGGAATCCAGGACAGATAAACCCCTCAGGACCAATAATGAGAGTAGCGATACCAGGAGGATAAGGGTAAGGTGGGGGGAAATGGGGAACCGATCACAATGATCTACATATAACCCCCTCTCAGGAGGATGGACAACAGAAGAGTGGGTGAAGGGAGACCTTGTTCAGTGCAAGACATGAAAAAATAATAATTTATAAATTATCAAGGCTTCGAGAGGGAGGGAGCAAAAAAAGATGAGAAGCTGATACCAGGAGCTCAAGTAGAAAGAAAATGTTTTGAGAATGATGATGGCAACAAATGTACAAATGTGCTTGACACAATGAGTGGATGGATGAATGGATGGATGGTAATAAGAGTTATAGAAGCCCCCAATAAAATGATGATTTCACAAAGAAAATTATCTGATTTCTTTGTACATAAATAACTTCATGAGACTCATTTTTTTCCTTCAGAACTGTACATACTTTCTTGTCTTCTGCAGTTCTGTGTTATGGAAGGCAGAGTTGTTAGCTGTAACTGTTTTCCCTACCTAAATACGTGCAGCAGCCTTTCTTTTAAAAAAAAATCATTTTATTGGGGCTCATACAACTCTTATCACAATCCACACATACATCAATTTCATAAAGCACACTTATACATTCTTTGCCCTCATCTTTCTCAAAACTTGCTTTCCGTTTGGGCTCCTGGAATCAGCTCCTCATTTTCCTTTCCCCGCTTCCTCCCTCATGAACCCTTGATAATTTATAAATTATTATTTTATCTTATCTTATACTTCCTGGCGTCTCCCTTCACCCACTTTTCTGTTGCTCATCCCCCAGGAAGGAGGTTATATGTAGATTCTTGTGATTGGTTTCCCCTTTCTACCACACCTTCCCTCTTCCCTCCCGGTATCACCACTCTCACCAATGGTCCTGAGAGGTTCATCTGTCCTGGATTCCCTGTGTTTCCAGTTCCCATCTGCACCGCTGTGCATCCTCTGGTCTAACCAGGTTTGCAAGGTAGAATTTGGGAGGGGGGGGGGAGCGTTTAAGAACTAGAAGGTTGTGAGTTTCGTTATTGCTACACTGAACCCTGAATGACTCACCTCCTCCCCACTGCCCCTCGCAGCAGCCTTTCTTTATCTTTGAAATTCTAGATGTCTAAGTACAGAGTTCTTTTTACAAAATTAAGAAATGAAAATTTGAAACGGAAAGAAATACTTTAATAATGCTAGTAGTTCAAACACAGTACACACAAATACTGTGCAACTGTAAAATAAAATCCCTCTCCTCAAAGGCAATCCCTATGAATGGTCTGATACAGCCTTCCATAATAAGCTAAGCCAGTGGTTCTCCAAAGGGCTGCCAGGGGATCCCAGGGTCCAGGGTGTCTGCCAGGTCCAGGCTATTTCATAAGGCCAAGAGAGTGTTGGCCCTTTCTTTTCATTCCATGTGTTTACATTTGCCTGCTGGTCCCTCAGATGAATCAAGGCAGCAACACCAAACTGTATGTTCTAAAAAAAAAAAATCACCAAAAAACCAAACTCCTTGCCAGCGAGTCGATGTCAACTCACAGCAACCGTATAGGACAGGATAAAACTGCTCCTGTGGGCTTCTGAGATTGGAGAAGCCAATGGATTCGAATTGGTGGCCTTGCTGTTCACAGCCCAACACATAACCAGTGTATAGGCAACCATTCTATTCTTCAGTGCCATCTGAAACCAGACCAAACCCCTTCAAATGAAGAATAAAACAAAGCAAAACAAACAAAAAGAGATCAAGTGACTTAAATCATCCTAGCTGAGGCAGAAATAAGTACATAAAGTAATTATTTTATGAAATAGTAAATTTCTTAACCTTTGAGGACATGTTTTTAATATGCTGTGTGAAAAAAATAGCAAGCGTCCATATAGCATTCCTGTTCCATAACAAAGCACGGGGGTGACTCAAGAGAAAAGTACATGTGTAATTGAAGTGTAAGACGAATTCGCCACTCTTCATAGGACACCCTCTGGGCTTGAAAGGATGGCTGGCAAACCAAGGAGCGTTGTTCAGACTTCGGGCCATGACAGCCATTCCCTCAAAGGTGGGTAAGGTGAAGGGTGCACCGCTTGAAAACGGCAGTGTCTGTGGCCAGTGAGAAAATCGGGCTTTCAAGTGGAATTACACTTTGGGGAAAACTTGCCCCAAACCATTACGATAACCAGGATAGTTCATCCATAATCCTCACAGCCTTTTCTAATGGGATCATGATATTCGCCTATGTGATCGTGTATATGATATAATGAACAGTTGGAAAGGGCAGAGGTGTACAACCCCGGGAAACAACAGTTCCCAAATAACCCAGGCACAAGGTTACAACACTTTAAGCAAGCAAAAGACCCGTTCAAACTGCAAGATGAACCATGGGATGCTAATGTAACGGAGCATGCAAGGTTCACGGATCCACAGTTTCAGAGTCCACGTGTGGCATTTTGGTGGGACTTCAGAGAATGTCCCTAAGTCCCTGAAAGGGGTAGGGGGACATCTGCGCACGGTAAGCTTTTCTTCAGCTACTTCTAGCAAATAGCACATAGTAACAGATGAATGCAGAAAAGCAGATCATGAGAATTTAGTTCTTTTGTAGGTTTGGGAGATTTGTAAAACATATGCCGATGCTACTCTAATTCTTTTGTTTTAGAAAATATTTTTTATAAAAAAAATCTCCAAAGACATTTTGGGTTTAAAGTTGTCATTTTAAACCTTGTTTTTGAAATTTTATAAATTTCTGTTTTCATTTCTATCATGGTGACTACTAAAAGACAAAACACAGAAGGAAAAAAATCTCTTGGGTTCTCAACACATTTTGTAAGTGTACTGATCATTCCTGAGACCAAATGGCCTGGCAGCACCCTCTGTTGTTGGGGCTCGGAGTCAATTCCAACTCATAGCTGCTCTGTGAACAGATGGAACCCTGCTCTGTCAGCACAGTCCTCACAGTGATGGCTGTGTTGAAACCCATCGCTGGAGCCACTGTGTCAACCTGGGCATGCATGCACACATGCGGGCATGCACACACACATGCACGCCTGCAGATACATATATGTATGCATATATTCTTGTGCATATAATCTGCATGAGAGTGCTGGGCCCACTATTCCAAAGCTCCCAGTATGCTCCACTTCTACCACTCCTCTGGCGCCTGCTCTATTTACAGTGCTTTGTTTTCCACTGGAGACTAAGCATTTCAGAAGGTGACCAGTAAAAGCAGTCTGCTTTTACTGACTGCTATGGTACCTGCCGGAAGTTGCCTGTGAGTTCCTGTAGAGGGCAGCTCAGTACAGTGCTCTGACTACAGGTAGCTGGCTAAGAAACATTTTTAGCAGTTTACACAGTCACGTGTGATCCAGGGTTGGGTTTGGAAGGAAGACATTCAAAGTGTAAGTTTCTGGTGGCTGACTGGCTCTGGCCCAGAGGGTGAGGGGTGTTGTATGCACTGCATTTTTCTTCATTTATCCCCAAATCAGGGAGAAGAAATCACTAGCTGGCTGGGTTGCTCCTGGCATACTACAGCCACCTTTCATAACTCATCTTATCGGCTGTCTATATGAGAATCCAAGGAGATTCATTGGTAACGCTAGCTTGCCGCCATGTTAACCGACAGTTTGTGTTTCCTTCAGAAGGAAAGAAATCACACCACAGAGCAACAACACTTACCTGCTCGGGGCTCATATAGAGTTTGGTCCCGACTTGTCCTGTGTGTCTGGCATAAGCTGGCATTGGGGTCAGGACCATCTGCTCTTCCTCATCCTGATCCATTGCAGTCACTAGTCCAAAGTCCCCAACCTTTACCACGTCATCCACTGTGAAGAATATGTTGGAAGGCTAGAAAAACAGGAGGAAAGAGAACGGTGGGTGTGTACTCAGGGCAGAAAGGGAAGGGGAGGGAATGAGTTTAATGGCATGTAAATGATATGGAAAATACAATAAACAAAAACACACCCTGAAGGTCAGTTCTCTTTAAAATAGACAAATACAAAATACAAACAATTCTTTGATGCCTGCTAAGACCTGTGATCAAGAAGAGTGGCAAAGGGTAACGACATCCATTGAATGCTTCCTTCAAAGAGGCCCCCATTCTCCAGGGTCCCGAGTACTTCATCCCTCAATACTAGCTTCATATCTACTCTCCTCGAGTAAGTGTCCCTATGTTTATGACGTAAGCCTTAATAATGATAATGTTAACAGTAATAATAATAGCAAGCTCAGCGGCACTCGCCAGGTGTCAGGCACTGTTACAGCAGTTTACTATGATGAACTTGTTTCCTCCTCACAACTCGACAGGTACTCCCATTTTCCAGGTACAGAGAGAAATTAAGTCCATTGCCAAGGGTTATCCAGCTAGTAAGTGGTAGAGCAGGATTGAAACCATGCAAGCCCAGGCATCTGGCTCCGTGAGAAAAGGGCCTGGCCTTGTGATGTCCTGGTGCTTGTCCGGCACTCAGCATGTTTATTTCTGGCCCTAGAGCAGCTAATCGCTAACACAAGTATTTCATGAATGAGTGAGTGGAAGCAACAGACTGACTTTCTGGTTTAAGTCTGAGAGGGGGAAGTAGACTATCAAGGGACATAAGAGCCCTTAACTGTTACTTTCTACCACCTTCCAGAGTGTACATCTACCCCCAGACATCTGTCCTGAGTTTCAAACGCTCATGTGCAATTGTTTTTAACATATGTTTAACTTCATACTCAACATATCCCCCTATGAAAACTGAAACCAAACTCAATGCCTTGAATCGATGCCGACTCATAGTGACGCTATAGGACAGGTTAGAACTACCCCCTTGAGTTTCCAAGACTGTAACTATTTATGGAGTAGAAAGCCCCATCTTTCTTCCGCAGAGCCACTGGCAGTTTTGAACTGCTGACTTTGTGGACTGCAACCCAACATGTCACCACAATGCTACCTCATTAACTATATTACCTACTCCTCTAACCCAAGTCAACCTGGCTGTAATTCATAGCCCCTGAAATATAGAAACACGAAGCCACATGGCCCATGAAATTGAATTCCATAGGTTCCAATACTGGTAGACACAATAAAGTTCTACTCTCAATTTCCAAAATACCATTCCGCAATGTTGATGCAGAAGCAGTGAAGGTGGGGTGTACAAAGAAAATCCACAGTATTAACCTGATGCTCTCCCACAAACCACCTATGTACCAGGGGTAATAATGGATTACACTGCCTCAAATATCAACTGTCCACCCCTTTCCTACCTGCTCATGTCAGTTAGGTACTGAACACCCTAATAAGGCAGATTTCTGGCTCTTCAGCATCTGTCCACGAGCAATACTGGCTTTATTATGAGAAATCCCTTTTTCCTGATGAGCAGCAACCCAATGTGTGTGTGTGTGTGTGTGTGAGAGAGAGAGAGAGAAAGAGACAGAGACAGACACATCCTGGCTCCAGAGACTACCCAAACCCAGTAGCAGGATCCTCTCCTCTGGCCAGCCTCTGGAGATTGGTGTAAGGAAGGGTACGCATTCTTGGGTTATTGACAGCAGTGGGTAAAAGAGACTTTCCTTCCTAGTTCTGCCTCACTCACTTTCCAAAGACAAGAAAAACAAAAACACCTGGTCCCAAGAATCGCTAGTATTAAAAGGAACATGGACTGCCAAAAGAACAAATAAATTGGTCTTGGAAGAAGTATAGCCAGACGCTCCTTAGAAGTCAGGAAGGTGAGACTTTGTCTCATGTGCTTTGGACATGCTACTGGGAGCAACCGGTCCCTGGAGAAGGATCTCATGCTTGGGAAAGAATTATAGTCTCGGAAACATTACACTAAGGAGCAGTTCTGTTCTGTCCTATAGAGTCATGATGAGTCAGAATAGACAACGACAATGACTTAGTTTTTTTTGGTATTTTAGGTAATGAGAAAAGTCCAGTACCATTTTGGAGGGGGACTGTGGACCCAGGGTTGTAGAAAAAACAATCGACTGGAAGTAAATTTGGAGAAGGAGGGGCTACAAAGGACTGAAGACAAGACAAAAAAAACAAATAAACAGAAAAATGACCAAACTCTACAACCGAGAGAAAGCCTAGTGTTTAGCGTTGAAGTCAAAGGCGAACGTCGGTGTGTAGCATAGCTCCTTGAATTGGAACTACACAACTGGGAGCACTTGTTGTTCCTCTAACACACAAGAAAGCTTTAAAATGAATTGTTCTTTAGAAAGGAATAAAACCTTTATGACTTCTAAAGAAAACGAAAGGATTTCTTTTCTTTTTGAAATGTCCTAGTACAAAGAAAGGAAAATCCTCCCAGAGTGAGGCAACCATCCACCAATATCTCACTCACATGAGAGAATCATTAGAATAATATTTATTATTATAGAAACCATAGTGGAACTGCCTTTCAATTTGCTTATTTTATGTGGCCAAGTGAAATTACTTGGAATGGCTCTTCAATCTCTCACGCCAAATAGGGTGTGTGAAACTTTGATGGGAGGATTGGTTAGTTTTGCCATTCTTGTGGGTGTGAAGTGAGCCAGCTCAGAAGCAGAACCAGAGAATCCCAGGACCATCAAGAATCCTAGGACCGAGCAAATGGGGTGGAGTTTAGCCTGTCAATCAGGCTGCACCTTGACAGGAGGATGACCAGGATAATTGGCTTTCTTTCATTCTGAAGGCATGCACGCCAAACACTTGCTCTCTGCTGACACCACGCTGAGATCTGCGTGAGCCCTGGAGCTGTGTCCACCAACATTGCATCCACAAGATTTTGTACCCACCGGCCTGTGATCTTCCTGCATCACTTCATGTGGCTTTGTGAGTCTGCAGAGGGATTTATGGTCTAGAATTGGACTTAGGGACTAGTATTGGATTTATGGACTTGAGTTGGACTGGGGTAGGATGTTGTCCTGCTTTTTGATATAAAGCTCTCTCACACACACACACACACACACACACACACACACACACACACACACACACACACGAATCCCAGGACCATTAAGAGCCACGAGTGGAGTACATACAAGATCCCTGCATGGAGAGGCAGTCATCACCAAGGCAACACACCCAGAGCCCAGCACAGAGCACATAAAGGAGAGCATCTAAAGACACCAGCAGCCCTACAGGAGCTTTAAAACACTTGTCCAAGTAGGGCAGAGGCCACAGGAATGCATGGCTGAGGCCAGCGACCAGAAGGAGAGGTGTGCTTGCTGGTTTAACTGAAAGGAGGGCACTTTGGACAAAGGAAATGTATGCTTAACATTACTGATCCTGACTTGTAGCCTGCTTCTTCCATAATAAAGTCCCATAATTGCAGGTATTGTTTGAGACTTCTGTGTGGACACTGCAATGGGTTATTGAACCCAACAGAGAAATAGCGTGCTCTGGGAGGGGCATTCTGTAGTAGAATCAGGTAAAGAGAGTTGGAGGGTGGAGGCATGTCTGTCCTCTACCTCAAAGGAATCATTCTTGGACAGAGGTGGAGTGGATCCTACTTCGCCCTTTCTAGCAAGAGGAGGTCAAAAATAGCCTCCACACCATTTGCTCACTATGTATTACAAATGTTAAATAAAATGTGTACATTAGCTAGTTGGTTTCTACTACACACTAATAATTTCTCAGATTCAAACTTAAAATAGTTAAGTTTTCTTTCAGGTTAGGGGTGTCTACCCTCCTGCTGTCTTCTCCCTTCCAACAAAAATCACACATTTATGAAATTTTCAGTCAGTGCAGAACCATTCCAGGCAATTAGTTTGGACCCAAGTCCAAATCACGAATGCATTAAAAGACTCTTGTGGAGAAGTTCATGCCCCATTGTAGGAAGTTGGTGTATTTTAGCAAAACTCTTTTTACCCAATAGTAAGGCCAGTGTTAAATAAAATCTCCCAAATAATTCACAATAGAGCAAGATACACCAAAAGATTTTGGGCTTCTAGACCCTTAAGCAATGATATAGTCTTACATACTCAGGATCCCTGGTGTTGCTGCGGGTTATACATTAGATTGTTAAATCGCAAGGTCAGTGGTTCAAACCCACCAGTTGCTCTGCGGGAGAAAGATGATGTCTGCTTCCATAAAGATTTATGTTCTTGGAAACCCTCCATGGGGTTGCCAGGAGTTTGAATCAGCCTGACAGCAGCGGACTTGTTTGGGGAAATATACAGTCACATATATTATATGCTCATTACACTCTTGTCCCTCAAAGTACTTTTGTTTTCTCTGATTGTAACTCTAATATTCTTCTCATATAGAGGTCCTTCATGGAGCAGTGGGTTATGAGCTGGGATACTAACCAGAAGGTCAGGAGTTCAAAACCACCAGCTGATCCATTGGAGAAAGATGAGGCTTTCTGTTCCCCAAAAGATGTACAGCCTGGGAAACCCACAGGGGCAGTTCTTCTTTGTCCTAAAGGGTGGTCATTCTAAGTTGGAATCAACTTGATGGCAGTGAGTTTGGTTAAGATTTTATGCTTGTTTTGTTTTTTCCCCTCTTTTCCTCCACCCTGCCATCTCCTTTAGGGTAAGATCTCTGTAACTTTTGCAATACAAAGCACTGGCCGTTATACACAGTTATCAGTAAAAACGTATCCCGGTGGCCTTTGGGAGGACTCTGACTCATGGCGACCCCGTGTGTGTCAGAGTAGAGCTGTGCTTCACAGGGTTTCCCACGACTGACTTTTCAGGAGCAGATCACCTGGCTCTGGGTTGATGGGAACCTCCTTCTTTCTGGTTGGCAGCTGAGTGTGTTAAACATTTGCACCACACAGGGACTCCTTACACACTATTTAGCAAGTATCGTTAAATTAACCTCCATGTTTCTTACAGCGCACAGGAGAAAGACGGGACTTTCTACTCCTGCAAACACATGCACTGCAGTCGGGAAGCCCACAGGCAGTTCTGCCCTGCCCTACAGGGTCCCCAGGGGCCGGAATGGACTCGAGGGCAGGGAGTTGTGCTGTTTTACAGCAGAGAAGATGCTCTTTCCATTTCATTCACATTTGGGCTTTTAAAAACATGAATGGGTAACAAAGAAAATAAGAATCACTTTCTAACTCTTCTCCCTGTTGTCTCCAATTCTTAAAATACATTCAAGCATTTAAAGACTTACTGCTGATTTAGAAGAAATAACTTTTGCTGAAATAACAACCTTGGAGCCTGGAACAAAAGTTGGTGGTTAAATTAAACAAAATTAAAAACTGGGTCCAACTCTATCAAGAATTGCAGCCACCTCAATCAGATAACCACACGTAAATCTTATCTAGTCACTACATGTCTAGTGACGGTCACCAGGAGTACATGGGACATAGCAGAATTTAGGTGACATAGGTGTGATGGCTCTACAGACCTTGGGAGACACTGCAGGTTTGGTTCTACACCACAATAAATTGAACGTCTCAAGAAAGCGGGTAAAAAGCGGGGGCTTTCCCAGTGCACATAAAACTTATCTGAGGTAATTTATCCTATTATGTTACCACAGTATTCAATATTATATGCACGAGGCATAGAATCAAAAGAATCATCTCTAGCCACGCCACTTTTCTCCAACCGTTTTCACACCCCTCCCCCACAGTTCAGGCAGCTCCGAAATGGGGGACAGTGTGGCTATGTCACATCATCTGCCCCAATCCAAAGCTGGCTAACTAAGATGCCCCTTACACTCATCTGCCCACTGCCAATAAGGGCCTAGGAGGACTCATGTCGGGGAACTACAAGGCACAGAAGAAATGGGGTACACAAGTGGGGGTACACAAAAAGCTTGCAGAAAAATGAAATGAAAACATGTGATTCCCCACGTCCCAACTCTCGGAAGCCCCATGAGGGCTGGGGATGCTCTTTAGAGTACAGTGAACCCAGCACATCCCACAGCAGAGTGCATGAGTTGCCTGAAAATGTTCCAAGTGTGTGACTTATTTCTGCAGCAGAACAGACCTGTTAGGCTGCTTTCCCAGACCCCTGCTCCCTGACCCTGACCAGACGTCCTTACTCTTCTCTGCTGTCACAACCTGAGGTGCGAGGCTCTCAGCTCCTGGAAGAGTTCCTAGCTGCCCTATCGGGATGCTAGGGGTCATCAGTGACTCGACGGCGGTGTGTTTGCTTTTTTGGTTCTGCAGGTCCTGCTCTGAGGCCCACAGGGTCAGACCGGAACCCTGGTGCGCGTGGGGTGGCCCCAAACACAAACCTTGAGGTCCCTGTGCATGAGTCCTTTACTGTGCAGAAACTCGACCGCCTCCGCGATCTGCAGGAAGATTTGCAGGCACACGGCCCTCTCCCTCTCCTCGATGGTACAGCGCCTGTTCATCCAGTCTTTGAGGTTCTCCTTCCGGCACAGCTGCATCTGAATGTAAAGGTACACCTTCGGGGAGCTGGGCTGCAGTTTTTCGGCAGTGGTTTTGGTAAGGTCTAAGCTTAAAGTGGTTGGTCTTGGAGGAGAAACAGACAAGGTGGGCTCGGAGGAAGATTCGCTACTGGAATGCTCGAGACTAGTTAGTTGATGAGCATAATGGTTGCCAATGTGCAGTCGGTTCGTTTTGAGCTCCTCTTTGCTGGAGGCGTTATCACAGCCAGAGTCCTCAAATACTATAGAAGAGGAGGTTCGCTCCCGTGTCTGCACGTAAGAGGCTTCCGAAGGGCAGAGCTCAAAGGAGTGCCCCTCATCATTGCCATCCATGGTACCATCCTCCACCTCGCAGTCTGTAAGGCAACTGTCCTGGAGGTTGTACACCGGATCCAAGGACCCACTGATGTCTGCTGGGTCATTTCCGGGGAATTCCACGGGAGAGAACTGGCTCTCGGACGAACTGGTTTGGCCACAGGAAATCCCTACAGAGAAAGACCTGCTTCTCTGCGAAGGAGCTATGATTTCAATATGTTCTTTTGTAGAGAAGGGATCCATCCTGCGTATTTTCACTGAGGGTGCATCCATTGGGCTCGGAGAGCTCAGCGGCCAATCTGTGCTGGAAGTGGACGGGAGACAAAGGTATGTGAGTGAGTGCATGTTGGTTCAAACTGCGTCCTTTGTTTAAAAAGCCTCAACTATAATTAAACCAGTTTCCGGATAACCAACAACATAGAGATAACATAAAAATAGGATGCCTGAAACCCTCCCAAAATCACATTCCAGTCATTCTTTCTAAATATTTAAATTTGAAAGTTTCATCTTATACTTGAAACAGCTGGGGTTGTCACGCCAGGGTAGCCATGTTCTTTTGTCCCAAGCATGAAGGAAATGAAGGACAGGGCTCTTTGGTGGTAACAATTCAGAAGCTCCTGTGAAAATTAGGGCAGCAGCTAACAGGGACTTGAGACAAGGAGGCTCCTTCAATTGGTCTGTCCACGGGTTTGCTATTGGCTGCAGCTGCAGGTGTTTCTGCAGCAAAGTGCTGACCCTAGATCTAGCACTGCTGTCGAAACCCTAGGCAGGCGTTTCACTCCCGTTGTTTTCATCAAGGACATACTGGGAGTCTGCCTCCTTTTTGTTCTCATGGATATGCTTTGAAGACCTTTCGTAGAGCCTATCAAACTATACGGCAGGATATGGGAAATATTTTTGGATTACCTACGTTTGCATAGTTTTAATTGCAAACATACAGCATATCAAACTGTATGAGAACTTACGGGAAACATCTTTGGGTTATATATTTTTAATGTAGTTTGGTTTAAAAACACGTTTAAAAGCTGTTAAATTGTCAAGTATCATGAGAAAATTCTAATATCAACTTACAAAAACAGAGCCAAATGAAAACACACAAGACTTCATGCTGAAAAAACTAGTGTAAACCTTTAAGCAAATTATAGTTCATATAGCTCTATCTGATAATAATTTTTAAAATTCGCGTTCTCAAAGGCAAAACCAACTAACTGGTGGCTCAAGACCTTCCCAAAACAGGATGAACGAGAACAGAAATGTGCTGTTCTTTCCCTAAAAGCAGAGCATTCTAAAGCTATAGAAATGACATTTTGTTCATAGAAGCAAAAACAAAAGAACTAGCCTAAAAGGAAAATGATTCATTTTACAAACTCTATCCAGCAAAGTTACCTCTCATCTTTCAACCAAATTTCATCCATCTTCTCTTGCCACTTCTCTGGAGGAGTTTCCAACCAGGCGTTGAAATATCGCACGATCCCTGGGTGCTCTAGCTTGGCTAACGCTTTAACTTCTCGCATCACCTTTTCCCGAGCCAATTCCCTGTAGCAGGGAGAAAAGAAGACACCGAGGGTTGCTCCTGTCTGTGGAGTAATCACAGCCCCTTAAATGCTGAGCGGAAACACAGTGGAATAGAATGGCAGAAACACAGATATAGTAGTGGGAACAGAAATCCAAACTTAGATGCAATTGGCTTAGTGAGACTGTGTAAATCTAAGAAGACAGATCATAAGTCCTATATTTAAAAAAATTACAATATATATTTTAACTACCCCCCCTTCTTCTGGAAGTTAGTACCACAAGCACAGCTATTGACTCACTGAAATAACACTTGTTAGATGACTAAAAATAAAATCACTCTAGACTTGATAGAAGGATAAATAGGTGAGTGAGGTATTCAGAAAACAAAGTTCACATCCCAAGCTCGGGAGGATGGAGAAGTACCATCCTAAATGGTAGAATGACAGTCCCCAAAGCCTCCACGGTTATGTTCGTCAGAAGCCATGGTGACGGTGAGTTGAGTTCATTATGTGTATCTATTGCAGTATTTCCCAAAGCAGGAATGTAAAATTATGATCTCTGTAAACCTTCACTTCATTCCCACACAAAAAATTAAAACAAAAAGACAAACACTGCAAAGTCACCTTTAGGGCAACCTATTAGAAGTCCAAAAGCTTCACAATAAGAAATAGCTAAAATATGGCACATGTACTAGTTAGACAATCCTCTTGAAATACATCTGACCATGAAAATGCTGAAAACACCATGAAGGATGAGTACATAACTGACCAGTGCTGACACCTGTGCTATCGACTGCATAAATTGATGCCCCCAAAGAAAAAGAAACCCAAACAATAAGAGGAAATAGGAGGGAGATTCAAAGAGTTTGTTTTAAAAAATGGAATTAAAAGACAGTGGAATTTTCTCATGAACTTTTTGAAGCCCACTCATACTTAAAAATGTTAATAGTGGTTCTTACTGGGTAGAAGGATACACATGGCTTTTGTTTTAATATTTTCCACAATTAATATAGAAACATTTTAAATGGCGCTATTTAATAAAGTCGAAGGAACTGAAGACAGAAATTGCCCAGGATTTCATCTTGCTTGCGTCCATAATCACTGCTAATGGAAGCAGCTGGCCAAGGAGTTCAAATGGCACATTGCATTGAGCAAGCCTGCAGCTGAAGCCACACCTTTCCCCACCACCTCGTAGTCCTGTGAGAGTTGGACAACGAATAAGGAACACTGGAGAAGTGATGCATTTGAATTATGGTGTCGGTGAAGATTACTGAGAAGTATCATGGGATGCCAGAGAAGCAAATCTGTCTTGGAAAAAGCCTCGCCCGAATGACCCTCAGAAGCTAGGATGGTTCATACTTTGAACATATTATCAGGAGAGACCAGGCCCTAAAAAGGACATCATGCTTCTTAAAGTAGAGGGCAGCAAAAATGAGGAAGACTTGTGACAAGATGGGTGGACACAGTGGCTGCAGCCATGGGCTTGGGCATGACAATGATTGTGGAGATGGCACAGGGCTGGACAGTGTCTCATTCTGTTGTGCATAGGGCCACTTTAAGTTGGAACCGACTTGATGGTACCTAACAACATAGGTATTATAAAAAGGAATCTTGGTGCCATCGTGGTTAAAGCACTTGGCTACTAATCAAAAGGTCAGTGGTTCAAACCCACCAGCGGCTCTGCAGGTGAATGGCCTAACAGTCTGCTTCCAGGAAGACGGATGGCCTTGGAAATCCTATAGAGCAGTTCTATGAGGAAGTTTAAAATCTTATTAGATAAACTGAACTGAAAGATAATGGAAGTTTTCTATGAATTTTTTGAAACTCCCTGATACTTTGTCCTGTAGGGTTGTAATGAGTTGGAATCGACTCAGTGGCATTGGGTTTTGGTTACAGGTATTGCAGGAGTCCTGGTGGCACAGTGATTAAAGCACTTGTCTACTAACCATTCGAGAAAGATGTGAGTCTGCTTCTGTCGCGACGACAGGCAGAAACCCTATGGGGTGGATGAACTCTCTCCTACAGCGTCACTATGAGTCAGCATTGACTTCATGCACAGGGCTATTGCTTTTATAGGTACAGTATTAGTCATGACTAGGCGGAAAGTCCGTCCTGAGTTGTTAAGAATCAAAAACAAGGACCAACAAAAGGAAAACCACAAACAACCCCATTAAAATGTGGGCAAAGGATGTGAGTAACACTTCTCCTAAGAAGATGTACAAAGGGCCAATAAGCACACCATTAGGGAAATGCAAATCAAAACCACACGGAGATACATCTTCATATTCACTAGCATGGTGCTTTTCATGTGGCCAGCACATACACTACGTGTTGGTGAGGAGGTGGAGAGATTGGCACCCTCACCCACTGCTGGTGGAAATGTAAAATGGCACAGACACTCTTGGAAAGTCTAGTAGTGCCTCCAAAGTTATTACAGAATTTCTACCAGATTCAGCATATACCCCGAAGAACTGAAAGCAGAAGTGCAGTCGGGTACTTGTACACCAACGATCACTGCAGCATTAGTCATCATTGTCAACAGGCAGAAACAATCTAAAAGCCCAACAACAAATGAATGGATAATAAAGATGGTAATATACATATATATATGTAATAGGATACTATTCTGCTATAAAGAGAGATCATGGTCTGATACATGTTATGGTATGAATGAACCTTGAAAACATTATGTTGAGTGAAATAAGTCAAACACAAGAAGGCAAGTTTGTATGATCCAAATTATATGAGAGAACAAGAATAGGTGAATAGAAACAGTGCCTCCCCAAGGTGGGTAGGAAGGAAAAATAAGGAGTTATTTGTTTAAGGGATACTGAGTATCTATTATGAGCGATGAAAAATATTTGGAAAGTAGTAGTGGAGATTTTTATGCAACAAGGTACATGTTATTAATGTCACCGAATTATACATTTAAAAATGGCAAATACTTTTTAATGCATGTCTTAACCACAGTAAAATAAAAACAAAACAAAAAACAGATGGATATTTTAAGCACACGAAAAGCTATCTAAGTGATAAGAGTCGTATGAGCCCCTAATAAAATGATTAAAAAAAAAAAAAAGGAAGAAAAGCTATCTAAATAGATCACATCTTTTAAATAGCTGGTTATATGGTAGCTCTTAAATCTAAGATTCTGAAGACCAGAGACTGCGTTTTCTATAATCTGTAGGTTCTCAACAAATAGAGATAATTAAAGATGGATTAAGCCTCAATATGAAGGGCAGAGTGCCTGCAAGATCACATGGTACTAATTCAAGTTTACAAAAAATAGCATTCATTACCGATTGGGGAGACGGATCCTTTTGATAGCATAATTGCAGTCATCTACTTTATTTCTAGCTTCAAAGACAACTCCAAACCCTCCACGACCCATGCACTGAATTGGTTCAAAATCGGTTAGATAGCTAAAAAATAAATAATAATAAAAAGGTAAATTAAAAAAAATTAAAAGTTTGCAAGTAGTTTTAAATGTTATAGTATTAACCAGGTCAATCTTCTTATGATATATAAGAATTTATATACCCAATTCTCAGAGAAAATTTTTAATAAGTATAGTTTGAAATCTAATAGCCCTCTTTGTTCTCTTATATGTATAAATTAGAACACATTCTAAAATTTCTCCCTAGGAAATTTATTAATAATAAAAGGCTTCTTTTTAATTGGGAATCACTTATTCTTACAGCAATTGTACTATTGATCCTACCCAATACTTACCAACATGTACCAAAATATACTACTGAGTCTCCAAACATTTACCTCATCTTAGCACTTTGTACTTTCATTTAGAAAATGATTTTTAACTATTTTTTGGTCATTGGCCTGTATATTTTATGGGAAAAATGTTATCAATCCTATTACATTTAACTACTTTTTGCAGTTTGATACTCAACGTGTAACTACTATAACCCCAAGGCTCCTGTATTGATGTGTTTTTAAAGTCATAAATCTTTCTAGGAACTCAACCAGTCTGATATGAGCTGGTTACTTCAGGAGTCAATCCGCTCATCAGCAAAGGTCTTCAGACAGAAGCCACTCTGTCCACCCTCTGCGGCTTACAGAGAGGGCCACCACCCTGGGGCCTACTTCTCCTTTAGTCCCTGACCTCCTGAAGTGCACTGGATATCCAGCCAGCTTGCACTCCCTCGTGACTCTTAGACTTCTGCTCCTGCTATTTGCTTTCTTGGGACAACCCTTCTCTACACTCAATGAACCCTTCTTCTTCCCTCATCTTGCTCTCTCTCCACTCCTCTAAGAGCCTCCCGAGACCCTGGTCCTTGTTTCTCTATTTCCTTAGTCTGGGCACTACCTAGCAAATAGGAGACCTAAGATATGTCAGTTGAGTAAATGCATTCATGCCTGCTGCAGATGGCATATGTGATTCCAATGTATCCCTTATAAACTTACATGTATTACTTTCTGATGTGTATGGTCACACACATTTTCAAATAGTTGGCTCAGCTGGTTAGAACATGAAGTTAAGGAAGAGAAGCAAAAATCCCAACCCTCTATGGGCCAATTACTTTCACAGAGAATGAAGAGTAATAACCTGTATATGCCTGAAAATAGCTACTCTTGGTACTTCGGCACAAATCAACCTCCCCAACTGTGAGAACCCATAAAATTCAGGCCCTACTCCAACTGAATGATCTTCGCGTATTCCGAAACACTCACACAAAAACAGAGCTTCTGAAAGAAGTAACATCTTGGATGATGAGTCTAGATCCGATACCTACAATCTCGTCTAAGTTCCCAGCTGATAACTGACAAAACGAATGACTCTGGAGCGTATGCTCTTTAATAGTGACTTGGACACACAGAAAGCACCCAATGAATATTAGGTATCACTATTATTATCACAGAAATCCTTTTATAAGGCAAACAAACAAAAAAGGTCATTCTCCTCATACTGAATAAAGTTAAAGAAAAATTGGTCTATGTTTAATTCAGTGTTAGAGCACCTTATTAAAATTCTCTTCACAACAGTCTCACAACTATGTTTACTCAACTTTTATCCACTTCGCCCCTAGTCTCTAGCTCACCCTGAATTACTCATGATTTCAAGGTTCACATCACATGTGACCTCATTCATGATGCCCCATGGAACCGTTACAATCAGATTTAGTCTTGTGGCTTATGGGTCATATCCAGTGTTACCCTTCAAGATAGGGCCAGTTTTTAAAAACGTCTCCAGATTCCTAAAACATCGTCCTATAAACAGTTATTCAAACCAAATGTTAGAGGAGCAATGACTTCAGCAGTCATCAACCAGCCTCTTTTCCCCCGCCCACCTCTCACTGCCGCGTGTTGACTGCCACTGGAGTGTTATGCTAGTCAGCATCTTTCTGATCGAAAGCATTACGGTCACCTTTACTACTTGTGAGTCACCTAGTAATGTTGCTTTCAGAAACTGGTAGCTGAAAGAAACCAATCAGTTGTCAATTCTTGGCAGTACATAGGAATGCAGATTAGGTAATACCCTAAGTCCTCAGATAACCAAAATGGCTCAGATTGTAGCTGCCTTTTTCAATCTTTCCTGTCCTAACCCGTTACCTTGGCTATTAAACAATAAGGTTACATGTCTCTTTCTTGTAGTTCATGGTATTTACTGATAAGAGTATGATACCAAAAACGTAGGGGGGGAGTCACAAGCAACCTTGTCACATGCAAAATTTCCTGTAGCATCAAAGGTGGTACTGCATAGCACACAGATTGTCACCAGCTTCTTTCTTTGTATTTTAATTTCAAATGATTTGAACTGCCTACTTTTTAGTAGTGAACCCTTCTTTCTCTTCCTTCTGCTTTTGGAAAGTGTCAATATTATTGGCATATGGAATTACTTCTTTATCTTATCTAGACAGAATAAAAGATGAGCTTAGTAACTGGGGATTAAGCAACGTAGGGAGACTAATCTCATATTTTAATTACTACATGGGCACCACCATTAATAGCTGATACTATTAGTACCAAACCCAACACAGCGTAGACTCTCAGTAAATAAGTCATCCAACTAAGAACCTAGTTGGGCAGTTGAAATTCTAAACCCCTACAACACCCCATATTTCTGTCTTTCTTAAGGTACAAAATACTTTGAATGAATTTAAGTTACTAGTGGGCTAGGGCCATGTTTTATTCACTCAGATATTCACAATTTAAGAAAAAAGTTAAATAATTTCTTCTCTGATTCACATGGCTGCCACCAGGAGCTCTAACACATAGGCACTTTATGGTACAACTCACCGTGATACATATCCAGAATTTTTTATTTCACTCCAGCTACTGTCATTTGTGTCACCACTTATAGAATCATATTTATTTTCAGTTTGACATTGAGTTTCAGATTCTTTCCTTTGCTGGTTAAATTGGGAAAAGAAAAAAAAAATCACAACCAATACATAGCCAAATGGAAGTTAACTAATGGGAATTCCGATGGTTACTAAAACAACACGGGGAGCAAGAAAGCATTAAAAAAAACAAAAAATATAGTGTTTCTACTTATTATATTAAGGAAAAAAATTTCATCTTCCCACTCTCCTCCCTTTTGTGCTTCAGGGGATTTTCTTTCTTTAAATGTGGGTGTATTGTGTCTACAGTATAGCACAATACTAGGTGTAAAGCGAAAGACTGTGTACATGTATAAGGAGGCGTGCAGACTTCCAGGCAAGACTAGAATGATTTCACTTCCAACCAGTCTTGCAGGCCCTTTAAAAATGCTTTCAGTGACAGGAAGCTGGATTTGCCACCCCATTTGCAGTGTGTCTTCACTGCCATCTTCTAAAACATCTCCAGAGGATGTTAATAACCATGTGGCTGAAAGGGCCCCATTTGTGGAGCCAATGATTCCTTCAGCAATTCTTTACTGAGCACCGTGTAAGAGCTGGGGAGGCGACAGTAAGTGGGAAACAATGTAGACCCCGTCCTGGCCCAGTGGCTGCAAGAAATAACTACCTACCTATTAGGCATTTCAGTTAGGGAAGTCAGTGTGTTCTAAGACACGAGTGGACTCTAACGTAGATTAGAGGTTAAGGAAGACTCCCCAGACGACATGACAAGTAACGTCAAATTAGAAGGTGTCTAGGCGTGAGCAATGTGAGGATGAAGGGAGCAGAAGTGGGAGCAAGGGGAAGAGGACGGTCACTATTTACCTTTTAGAGGGAAGGGCACTACCAAGCTAAGAGAGGGTCTGATCCACGGGAAGGACAGCAGGAAGTTCAGCATGGTGGAGCGTGAAGCCTGGAGAGGAGGGCAGAAAGTGGCTAGGGCAGGGGTGAGACATGAGTAATGAGCCAAACACCCTGCCATCAAGTCAATTCCGGCTCTTAACAACCCAATAGGGCAGAGCACAATTGCCCCCAGTTCGTTTCCAAGGCGGTAAACCTTTACAGGAGCAGACAGCCTCACCTTCTACCTGCGAGGCGGCTAGTGGGCGGGCTCCCAAGTGTTGGCCTTGCAGTGAGGATTCCAACTTCCAACTCATAGCCTACTATACCACCAAGGGTCTTTGAGCAATGAGCAGGCCGGTACAAATCTTTCAGGATCATGCAGGCTATCCCAAGAACATGGACTTTATCCTGAGAGCAATGGGGTGGGGTCCACAGGGGGATCACTTACTAACGTGTTTTAAGCCAGGAAATGTAGCTAGTGTTAGGATATGTGGAGAATGGGCTTGAGACCAGGAGAGGCCCAGAAGCATAAAGACTTGTTAATGGTTTTGTTAATGATTCCGGAGAGGGTTACGGTGTTTGTGCCAGGAAAATGGAAGAGTAGACACATTGAAGATGTTTCAGAGGAAGACTTTAATATAACTTGGTGACTGATTAGATGAGGGAGGGAGGGAGGGAGGGAGGGAGGGAGAGAGGGAGGGAGGAGTGACTTCTGGCTGTGGTAACTGGGGATAGCTGTACATTTTACTGAGAGATGAAAAGTCCACAGGAACTGGTTGGACGATGGGAATGGGTGGTGGTGGTAACGATATCTACTGAAAGATAGGTCTCATTTAATGTATCTGTGGCGCTGTCAAGCAAGTGCCGGACTGCTAATCACAAACCCATCAGCTACCCCTTGGGAGAGAGATGAGACTATACAGCCTCGAAGACTCTGTAGAGGGTCAAGAAAAGTTAGAATCAACTGGATGGCAGAGGTTTGGGTGAGGTTCCCACGAGGCAGCTGGACCAGAGAAACAGATTCTAGAACCATTAGAATGTAACATAGTTGGAGTGGGGAAAGTAGGTGAGACCATCCAAGGTGAGCTTGTGGAAAGAACCAAGAAAGGTCTCAGGGGAACACTGAGGTTAATGAGGGAGGAGGACACGGTCCTGAGGTTCACACACCAAGCCAAGAAGCAAACCAAGAGGACCGTGTCAAAGAAGCTGGTTAGAAGAGGTCAAAGGGAGCTGTTTGTTTGGTACTGACAAGATTCAGTTAGATTTGGATTGAGAAATGTCCGTGAACTTGAACAAAAAGAGGATCATTGGGAACGCTGGCAAAAGCAGCCTCAGTGGGATGTTGGGGGTGGCCGTCTGCACAACTGAGGAGTGAGTGGGAGGGAAAGATGCAGGACCGAGCGCACAGGCAAGAATCACTCGATGCCAAACCAAACATGCGTTTAAAGCCCACTCCACTCACCCCAGTTAGGTTTCCTTTACACCTAACCCTCGGAAGTAAATTGGATGCTGGGCAAGTCTCTTACTCTGTGAAGATGAGGATGGAAAAGTCTGCGCACGATAAAGGTGGTGGCAACGATGCAAAACAGAATGGTCCCCACTATTTCCTTCCACCAGTGTAAGAGGAGGACCGGATCCTTCTTGCGGATGTTCTTGTTGTAAGCCGAGTTGTCGAGAAATCTGACTGTGATCTGCGTGCTTCGTTTGCTCCTCTCTCTCTTGTAGTATGGCAGGTAGTACCCATTATCTTCAAAACAAACATGGAAAAAGTGTTTTCTTTTTAATTAATAAATCATTTTATTGGGAGCTCTTACAGCTCTTATAACAATCCATACATCAATTGTATCAAGCACATTTGTACAATCTTGCCATCATTGTTTTTAAAACATTTTCTTTCTGCTTGAGCCCTTGGTATCAACTCTTTTCCCACTCCCTCCCTTTCCATCCCACCTTCGTGGATCCCTGATAAATTATAAATTATTATTTTCATATCTTGCATTGTCCATTATTTCCCTTCACTCATGTTTCTGTTGTTCGTCCCCCTGGGGTGTGTGTGTGTGTGTTATACATCTATCATTATAGTCAGTTCCCTCCTCACCATCGATCTTAAATCTCTTATTGTTCCCTCATCCCTGGATTTGTTGGCTCCCCCCTCTCTTTCTCCCACCTCTTCATCCCCCATTATCCCCCCAGAGCCGTCAGCCCTGTTGCTTTCTACTCTGGATTGGTCATCATGTCTATGCTATAAGGATAGACGTGAGCAAAAGAAAAAAGAGGAAGAAAAAAAAAGCCTATGAATAGTGCCAGGTCTGTCTACTGGAAAATGTATTTTTAAACAATAAGCTGAAAGCTCTTAGTTAACAATTTGCTACTTTCTATTGATTGCAGCATATTTTCCCCCATTTCTTCCTGCTTCTTTAACACCTTTCAAACAGCTTCATGAATTCTTCCTCTTTTTTACCAAGCAAATACATCTTATTCCATAAGTATCTTGAATTTTTTTATACCTACATGTAACACTATAAGAAAGACATAGGGGTGCCCTCATCCTATTACCTCGTTATTAATTAATTCCATCCATAGAGTAGAAGAATTAGGCAGTACTCAATCTTCCTCCATGGCATTTTAAGCTTTCCTTTCCCTTGCTACAATAAAACACATTTAAACAAGCCTGAAGGAAAGCATCTCCATCATGACCCTTGGCTGCTTTCAGGCCACCAAAACTGAACCTGTCCCAGAGAACACCTGTGCTCTGTACCTTCTATGTGACATTACTTGGACAGACTACACTCTTTTTGCTCTGGGACAGATTGCAGAATTTCTCTATGTCTTGGGGCTGTTTCTAGTTCTCAGTCTTGTTTGTGGACTGTTTTGTTTGGGCCACTTATTGGTATGATCTGCAGGCAAGTAGACTTGTCACTCACGTGACTCCATGTGAGCAAGCAGAGTTACCCCATGGGTTTTCCTGCTTGCTTATTTTTTTAAAAAGTTTTTTTGGGACATAATCCTCACACCATATAATTCAATAGTTCAATCATATCAAGAATCATACAGTAATTACCGCAATCAATTTTAGAACATTGTCTTCTTTGTACTGCTTTGTTATTTGCTCCCCATTTGCCCCCAGCTTCCCTATACCACACCCCCAAGAAATCATCAATCCAGTTACTGCCTCTCTAGATTCACCCATCCTGGATGTCACAAACCAAAAAACATACAAAAACAAAAAAGACAAAGAAAGAAAAAAGCTAACAACAATAACAAAATAAAATAAGAAAAAAAGAAAGCAGAAAATATTAAACACTAGGACGACTTTAAAATGGGTCAACTCTATCAAATGATGGGTTCTTTGAAAATAATAAAGACATGATAAGGTGTGAAATGTTACCCTAACTACATCTGCCATATCCACTTTGCAATGCACCCTGCATGACAGCAAGGCTGCTCACATGCCCGGTCTGTGGTCAGAGAAGCTTCACCAGAGGCTTCATCTACGTGTGGACCCTGAGAAAGGGTTTGGGCATGCCACTGCCATGCATAGCCTGATGTAAACCACACCCCATAGGCTTCTCTAGGCTGTAGTCTTTACAGAAGGCAATGGCTACGTCATTTTCCTGGCAGCATGAGCTAAGTTCGAGCTGCCAATCTTTCAGTTAACAGTTGAGTGCAACGGCGCCACTACGGCTCATTTTATAACCAATTCACTGTATACTCGAGTATAAGCCAACCCGAATCTCAGCCGAGGCACCTAATTTTACAACAAAAGCTGCATAAAAAATGTGCTGAAAAACTTGGCTTATACACAAGTATATAGGTAAGTTGTGCAGTAGTCTCCTAGTTCTTGAATCCAGAGAACCAACAAGAAGCCTATGTTGTTGTTATTCTAATGCAGATTTGAAGATGTTTCTATAACAAATGGTTAAAAAGGGTTTCACATTTAAATGTATCCTAACTTTAAAGAACTGCTACCTGCTATCAAAAATAAATAAACAAATAAAAGCTCACTCACTGGCATGGAGTCAATTCTGACACACGGTGACCCTGTAGGTCAGGGTGAAACTGCCTCCGTGTGTTTCCAAGACTATAATGTTTTCTTTTCTTCAAAAGTTTTATTGGCACGTAATTCACAAATCATACCATTCAATGTAGTTCAATCACACCAGGAGGAGTTGTGCAATCATCACCACAATCAGTTTTAGAACATTTTTTTTCTTCATTCCTGTACTCATCATTAAGCCCCCATTTTCCCCCAAACCCCCCTGCCACACCCCCAAACCAACGCCAAACTCACTGCCATCGAGTCAGTGCTGACTCATCGTGATCCTGTGGGTTCCTGAGACTATAGCTGGTTTTTTAAATAGTTTTATTGGCACATAATTCATATATCATACAGTTCAATCATTTAGTCATATCAAGCCCAATTGTATAATCACTATCACATCAATTTTAGAACACCGCCCCCACCACCACCAGATGGTTAAATCATCTTAAAATGAGTTGTGCAATCAGTCAGTTCTAGTGCTCCCTCCCCACTCCTGCCTTCATTTTTCATTCCTGAAATCCCCTTCCCTCCCATCACCCACCCCTGCCCTTGTATCACTTTTTATCACTATGCATATATCAGGCATGGCTCTCTAGAGCAGGGCTGTCAAACTCAATTAAAACACGGGACATTTGGTACAACAGGCAAGATTCACGCAGGCCACATCACATTTACAAATTTTGGTAAATTTATATTTTGAAGTGAGGATTCAGGAATATGGATAGAATAATTACAATGCTATTAGTTTTGCTTTTATTTAAACATTTATTTTATTTAATGTATTTATAAAGCTAAAATTATTCTTTTTTACCCTAAACTTGCCAGCACTTTCCTCCTACTAGTTTTCACTTACCTCTTATGTTGTGACCGGAAAATACAACAAAGTAACTAATAAGAAACAGAAAATGTTGGATATTTGGCAAACATGATGCACAATTGTAATGGCTTCCCTCTAAAAATGTTAACTAGCGCCGCCGCCAGGTATGATTCATAACACGACAACCCAGATTCATAACACCACAACTCTTTTTAACCTTTTCGTTATTGGGATCTGTTTACATGATGTGACACTGAGAGTGGCAGACATATCGCTCCCAAACGTCGCTGGAATTGAGTCAGCGCGTTTATACGTGTCCACGGGCCCCCAGGAAAGTCACTAGGCCACATGTATCCTCATCTTCAGTAGTTAAAGGGTTAACGAGGGAATTGTGTGTATGGTATTGCTTCGATCTCCCCTAAGTGCTATTTTCTTCACAAATTTTTTTTTCTATTTTCATTTTATTTCAGAGCATTGCGGGCCACAAAAAAATACCTCGGGGGCCACATGCGGCCCAAGGGACACCAATTTGACACCTCTGCTCTAGAGAAACAAAACGAGGACACTTATGATTATATATATATCTATCTATATGAATGAGGCTAGGTTTATACAGTGAGAACGAATATAAATCTAATTAGTCCACACAGTAGTACAGAGGGCTCAGTTCAACTCACTTTCATGGAACAGTTAATATACTGGAAGTTCTTCGACTCACACGGGCTGCCAAGGTCAAGGAAGCAGACAGTGGAGTCCTCCCTCAGCCAAGGCAGGAAAAGTCTGCCACAGGCAGCAAAAAGCAGAGTGTGTCAGCAACAGTCAGTCGATCGGGAGCTGGGAGCTTAGTGAAGCAGGCCCAGATAGGATCTTGAACTCAAGTAATGCAAGGTGACAGCTGTAGCGGACACATGATCCACCACAGGTTGGCTTGGCCCACAGGTGGTGTAGCACACAGGATGAGGTAGAGAACTAGGTAAAGCAGCAGCATGCTGGTCTGATCATCAGAGAACAAGAGAGAGGGGGAGGGCTTTGCAGAGCCATTTATCTCTTTGCCCTCCAATCAAACTGTGACCTGATTAATCCCACATGTTCCTACTGGCTAGGTTGGAATAATAAACCTAACTATCAAAATGCATCTACTCCTCCTGTGCTTCACAAACTGAGAAACCTAATAGAGACAACAAAAAAAGCAAAAGCAAAATAAAGTGTTAAGGATAAAATAATAGTAACATAAAGACAAAACTACAAATAATGAATAAGAAAGAAAATACTCCTATCAATATTTAAAAAAACAAAAAACATGTTGGGTCTATAGGGAGGTCAGCTGGCCAAGTATCAAGTTCGATCCAGCATAATCAAGATTACAATGGTCTCTACCTGATAGTAAGGCTGTTCTGGACTCTTGACTGTGGCTAGAGCGGATCTGTCAGCGGCTCAGTCTGACAAGATACTCAGCAGATGGGGTTGGGGTTCCCACAGTCCTCCATAGCCTTCTACAAATTGGGTGTTCATAATTTTAGCTCAGATATTTCCCCTTTGCCATATTCTAATTTTGTAATTGTCATGTCTGGATCACACAAGTTGGTGTGCTTCTTGTGTGTGGAGTTAGTTTGAATACAAGCCTTTAAGAACCCAGACACTATTCTGATTGATAGCCGGGCACCACCTACCATATATACTCAAGTATAAGCCAACCCGAATATCAGCAGAGGCACCTAATTTTACCACAAAAGCTGCATTATAAAATGTGCTGAAAAACTCGGCTTATACATGAGTATATACGGCACTTTCTTCACCACACTTTGCTTTGGCACCTTTATCTTCATTGATTATCTCATGAAGGTAAGCATCGACTACAGCCATGTTATCAGAACTGTTCTTAAATTGGGCTAGAGTTAAGCAGGAGCCCAGACTCTATGTGTTTGTTCACAGGGTTTGCATGTCTCAGGTTTACATTGGTGGTTGTATTATGACAAAATTACAACCCTGTAAGACCAACTGCACCAATAGCAGTCATAAGCCAACCAGAACATACAAAAGAAAAAACTAAAACAAAACCCCCCAAAAACCACGATACAAGTAGGAAAGCAAACACCCAGATAAACAAAGAAGTACATCATTGTCACTCACCCCCCTGGGGTGTAAGTCGATTGCACTATCACCATCAATGACCCAGCGCTCCAGGCACTGTCGTTATGAGGAGTCTATGTGAGTACTGTTCTATCTTGAGCCGCAACCCATGCAGTTCTGTCCTACACGGTTCCATCTCTCATTGGATTGGGCTCTGTGGACCCTATGCATAGGGGTGATGCCAGTCGGGGTCTTCCTGGGTCAATTCTTTCAAGTGCAGTTCCCTGCTCCACAGATCACCACCTGTCATGCCACTGCAAGGTGGGAATTGAAGTACTATATGTATGGTGATCCTGGGTCCCTTTCCACTGGACACCTACCAAGTTGGGGGTTCCCCCCAAGGTCCAATGGTGGTCACTTCCACATTCCTGTGACAGCCACTCTCTGCTTCCTCTCCCATCCAAGTACCCCAGTCCTCTGTCCAAGGGTGCAAGCAACTTCTAGGCAGGGTCAGTTCACTCAGCAGGCCCTCTATGTTAAGTCCTTCTGGAGTAGACCTGCATGGCTGTAACTTCTTAGGGAGTAGAAAGTCTCGTCTTTCTCCCGTGGAGCAGTTTGGTGGTTTCGCACTGCTGACCTTGCAGCGAGCAGTCCAATGCAGAACCACTATGCTGCCAGGTCTCCTTGTTACTTACTACAGAGAAATGTAGTTTATACCAAATTTTACCTATTCTTGACTTTCCCCGATTTGAGAACAAAACTTCAAATAACTATTTCTGACAACATTTTCTCATAGTTCTATCGAAAGCACTTGCTTTCTTTGTTATACAGTGTACCTACCGTTTTAGAGACTATATTATATAGGCTGATGATTAAATGAGAGACCCAGTCGCAAGAATGATTATTTCTTAAAGAGCCCTGGGTGGCACAAATGGTTAAGCACTTGACCACCAATCCCAAAGTTGGAACCTACCCAGAGGCATCTTGGAAGGCAGGCCTAAGATGTGCTTGCAATAAGTCACCGCCTGGGACACCCCATGGGGCAGTGCTACTTTGTACACACGGGCTGCCAGGATCGGAAGAGACCTGACAGCAACTAACCACAATGCTTGTCAAACATTTGTGATGTGCCAGGCACAGTGCTAATTAAGATTTCACACGCATTTGCTCCTACCAACCCAATGGACAGATATTCTGATTACGCTCCTCATCTTACATATGAAGGAACTCAGATGGAGGCAAGTTAGGTGTGGCCAGCTCAGGAGGTGGCGCAACTGGGATTTGAACTTTGACAATCTGACTTTAGTTTCCACACTTTCTTAGCTTTCACAATATAGCCTCCTGGGATAGTTTATTGTCTTCACTCCAATCAACTACTCTTCGTTTGAATTCTATTACTTAGTTTCAAATTAATACGTAAAATGAGTTTAAATGAACAAATGTCAGTATTTTCAACCAAGGAGTTGTCACTCTTACCATACGGATATTGCAAGATGGAAAGTGCACCGTTACTGTATTCGTCATGAGAAAACTTGTCATTACTAAGACATTTGTCAAATTCATCAGACCCCACCAACACCGGAGTTCTGGAAGGAGAGTCTACAGTAAAAGATAAAAGTGTAGCTGTTAGGACGAATGAAAACACATGTGCCTAGCTTACACAGATAAGGTCTACATCCTACTTTAGGGAGGGCCGCCTGGGGTCTGAGAAGCTTGCGTGTGGCTGGGTAAGATGCCGCTGCATTGGTCTCTAGGCATCTGGGGCAGAGAAAGAGGGAAACCTAAGATTGAAAGTAGTAATCTACACAAAGAATGACCTCACATATCTTGACGCCAGAAGAACTAGACAGTGCCTAGCTAACACTACTGGCCATTCCAACAAAAGACATAGTAGATGGTCCCAGGTAATCGGGGTGAAATATGTGGAAAAATTCAAATTACTCAAAAAGGCTAGCCTTCATAGGCTTAGACTAGTAGACACTAGAGGAATCCCTGAGACCATCACCCAGGGCTACTCGTTAAACTTGGAACTCAAACCACTTGTGGAGGTCACCTGGCAGCCAAAAGACAGACTGGCTCATAAAAGATATCATTCTCACCTATAGGTATCGTGCTTTTTCAAGCACTCGTCTAAACGAGAGTTAACATTTGCCCCTAGACCAAAGATGACAAGCTAAGGGGCACAAGGAAGCTAGATAAGTGGCTGCAGAGCAAGCCGAGTGGCGATAAGGAGAATGCTGCGCCACTGGGGAAAGTGTAACTGAGGTTACTGAACAATAGGCATGGGGACTGTTCATGAGAAATGAATTTGGTATGCAAATTTTCTCCAAGAGATCACAACAAAATGTAAAAAAATAAAGCACGAGTGCCTCATTGATGCCATAGATATTTAACCACCGCTCTGTCTGAACATGTAAAGCCAAAGAAACGGCCTAAGGATCTCGCCTTTGAAAGCTCCGGTCTCATAGAGGAAGTACACTATGAGGTGAGCATGCAAGTAAGAACACAGTCACAGGAACAGAAAGGTAACCAGGTGGACCGATATCTGAATTCAATTCATTTAACTGCGGAAAGATAAAATGTTGGCTACGTTTTACTTACAGATTCTTCATAACAATACATTAAAAGCTAAGTGCTACTTGGGAGTAGTCAATGAGTGGTTAAGAGTTTTTCAAAACTGTACAGAGAAATATTTTATTAACATTGATTTCTAGTGAAGCAACTGCTGCTTTAATGAAATACTTTGAAAATGAAAATTCATTACTAACAATTGAAGTTTCTTCCTTGTTTATCAGTAAAATACTGAGTATATAGTAGTTCTAATCTCTCTGATAGACCTCCAAGCACTTTAACAGTATTCATGAACTTTGATAATTAACTTACGAATTAGGGGCTTCCATTTGATTGTCGGCAAAGGAACAATGGCCTTTTCATTGTTGACAGATTCCAAGGCTTTGGGGCTTGTAGGAAACTTTTCTGAAATTCTGACTGATGATTGTAGATACAGCTGGCCCCTATACATTCCTGATTGAGCAAAAGCATTACCAATTATGTTTAGAATAGATAAGTTTCGTTTTGATTGAACAAAATTAGATTCATTCCAGTTATTTATTCATTTGCTACCCAGCTCTTTATAACAGAGAATCGGGCCTGGAGCACTCAGATTTTGACTCATAGGTTACCCAGGGAAAGTGAAGGGGAGAAGGCCCATATAATGTTTCTCATAGAATAACAACATATTTCCCATAGTTACAGGAAATTTCCAACAGTAAGAGGCCAATGTACCCTGTGAAACTAATATGAGAGGGCTTCAAAAAGCTCAGGGTAAGTTTACAATCATTTTAATTCTATCATTCCATAAACCTTTTGAAGATCCCTCATAGCTGGATGAAATGACTCTCTCCTTAAAAGTTACATAATGCTCAGAATCCCAGAGATATTGCTAATAATTCCATTAAACACTATCACAATGCGTGTGTGACATATTACTCTTTCAAAGTTTTGCTTTTTTTAAAATGAGGGGTGAAAGGGACACTGATAGTGCTTAGATAATTTTATGAATATTTGACCACTGAGACTAGTTCAAATAACTAGACTTGGCATTTCAAAATGTATTCTATTAAAAGTCTTCAATTGCTCAGAAGCACACCAGAGTTATTATTTTTCAGATCCGTTGCATAGCTGCATAGAGAAAAAAAAAACCAAAAACCTATCTCTAAAGGGAAGCAAACAGATACAGATGCAAATGCAAGCACACACACAGAACATTTGAAGACTTTGAAGACACATGCATGCGTCATTTTGAAGCAGGCTATGTGACAGGAACATTCCTACGTCTTTCTGATACAGGCCCCAGAGAAAAACAATATGTTACAATAATTAAATGTTTCAGAAGTGAACATATTGAACAACAGCAGGCATGGGAACCAACATAAATCTCCAGGGCATTCATTCTAAGCCAGTAAGTTTACTCAGGTATTACAACTACTATCAACATACCTGAAGTTGGACGGCCAATGTGGGGAATGTAACCTAAATAGATGGCAGCATGTACTATGACCGGAAAAGAGGTTTCTACTCACCCAAGTAAACACTGTTCTCCGTGGCCCCTCGAGCAGCCTCCACAATGTCTTCTTCATCTTCTAAAACCTCACTGTGGGGCACGTAACTTGTGTCATCAAAAAGACTGATTGGAATGACTTTGTCGTCCTTAACCAACCAGGCAGATGCAATTGGAGTACAAAACTAGGGGAGAAAGGGAGAGGGTTTTTAAAGCAGGGTTAAGAGCTCGGCTACCAACTGCCTAAGTTGGCGGTTCAGAGTCATTTCAAAGGAAAGACCTGATGATCCACTCAGAACAATAAGCAATGTAAACCCAATGGAGCTTGAGTTCGAACTGACCATGCCACCTAGGTCTTGGTCTTATGTCATCTCAACTTATAAAACACCATTCACAATCACAAATTACTGAGGAATAGAAAACAAGAATCCCAAATGGCAGCTAACTCCCTCCCAACCCAAGGAGTTCGGTGACCCCGGGCGAGGAAAGCGCACAGGGTTTCTCAGGTACCTGATATTCCCATTCCAGATGTCCGCCTTTCCTATTAAACGCCATGACCTTCCAATCAGCAACAGACACTTTGATGATTGTGTTGACTATGGCAGCTTCCTGTTCTTCCACATCTGAAATGATTTTAGACTCCTCCTTGTCCCCCCTGGGTTTAATGGTGCTTTCAATAAATCCAGCTCTAGTTTCCATGTCTGGAATATACCGAAGTTCAAAGTGGCCAACACTGAAATTCCACCTTAAATTCATAAAGGTGTGTTTTAGAAATGACTTTGAAATGAAGGAACCAGATAACACATCATTCTTCTACATGCAAGACGCAGATCCTAAAATCTGGGAACGAGAAAAAGAACAACTCCGCACACCCTTCAGGGAAGGAGTGTGCTGACAGTTAAGGCCACAGGAGGGCCCTCGAGGGCTTTGCACTGACCCCTTAGGAGCAAAGCTTCTCCAAGTGTGGGCTGACTGACAACAGCTGGAGGGACAGACATTTTCTCAAAAAGAAAAAACAGATTTTCATGCTTCCAAATCATAGTGCTTTTCTTAAAACCATCAAGGTGACCTTAAAATGGGGTCCCATGCAGTCTGCTTACCCTGCTTACCTCTAAAGGCTACGCACATTTCATTCAAGTGCTGAGAAATTAATGTATGCCAGCAAGCTGATGTAAAAAGTAAGATGAATGCATCAACTGTGGATTTTTTATAAAAACATAGCTTCAAAAAGGCAATATCATCCAGTACAATAATCTCAGATTTGCAACTTACTTTTTTGAGCTTCAGTATTCTTACCCATAAAAGGGCAGTAGTAAACTTTCTCCTATATCTAATAGAAAAACCACTTGGTTTTTGATAGTTAGATATAAAATTCCACGTGAAGAATTCTAACTTCCACTGAAAAAAATCTAAACTTCAAGAGGATGGAGCTTAGATCTCTGACCCTTTCTGCTCAGGAAGCTCCAAGACGTGTTGATTTCAAGCAGCAAACACTCAAACATATGGGAAAAAAATATATTCCTTCAGGATAGAGTCAGTTGTTAGCCAATGCAAAGCTCAGTTCAAATAGTCCAGGGAAAGCAGAAAGAACACATCCTTAACTACGTTTGAGAGAAGTCTCCAAGACTGAAACCAGAGATTGATTACATCAGAATAAGCAAAATCTGAAGGTCTGACTCACTGTCAACAGATAAAGACATAACAATAATTTTATTACAGAGGCAGTTTAAAATTTAAGTATTCAGTTTAAAAAGCCACGAGCCTGGTTTAGATCAAACTATCTGTTCCAGTTGTGTCTTAATTTTTAATCACATATCTAAATGTTATAAAAAAATCATATAAAGAATTTGGTTTTTGGAAAGAGGATTCGACCAAATAAATGGTATTCTAATGCTCTAAGAACATAGACTAAAATTATTTTGAAACCTGGGTAGTAAGACACTCTGAAGCAACTAGACAGAAGAGCGAGCTCAGTAAGCAGAAAACAAACCCATGAACAGATTAGTTGGGCTATCATGGAAAATGTCATTAACTTAAGGCGAAACAGAGTCATTGTACTGGACTCCTTTTGGCTACTGTATCTTGAAGCACATGGTAAGAAGTTCAGTTCTAGAGTTGTAAACCCTGAGGCCATTTTTAATTTAGGAACTATAGTTCTCTTTAAAAAACAATGTTTTCAAGGAATAGGTTCCCAAATTTACTTGTCCTTCAGAAAAAAAAAAAGAAAGAATGACTCATCACCTTTCTTCCAGCAATGAAACACTTCTGTATGACAGCCCGTGATCCAGGACCGAGTGTGGGCCTCTGCTTCTGCAGCTCTCCTGGACCACCCCACCCACCAAGGGGCAGTACTGCCCACTTGGGGAACTATTGTTTCAGGACAACAAAGTTGTTCAGAAAATCTCCACAAATGAAATACTGATGATGCTGGTGTTAGGTACACTTTCCAATAGTATCTATAGTAATACTGTCTCTGAATACATACTTCTCATTGCCACTGCGGGGTCTGACAGCTCTAACGGTTTTCTGGGTCCGTTGCAGAAGCAGGATGTCTTCTTGTTCCATTTCATCACTATCCCATCGGCGACAACCCAAAGCGGAGCAGATATACCTCACCTGAAAAAAACAGATGCAGACCAGTGAAGGATACAAGTTAGAGAGATATTTCTTTCTTTTTTAATCGTTTTATTAGGGGCTCATACAACTCATCAAAATCCATACATACATCAATTGTGTAAAGCACATTTGTACTTTCATTGCCCTCATCATTCTCAAAACATATGCTTTTTTTTTCTTTTAAAATCATTTTATTGGGGGCTCGTACAACTCTTATTACAATCCATAATACATCCATTGTGTCAAGCATATTTGTACATTTGTTACCATCATTATTCTCAAAACATTTGCTTTCTACTTGAGCCCTTGGTATCAGCTCCTCATTTTTCCCTCCGTCCTCCACCGTCCCTCTCTCATGAACCCTTGATAATTTATAAATTATTATTTTTTCATGTCTTACACTGTCCGATGTCTCCCTTCACCCATTCTTCTGCTGTCCATCCCCCAGGAAGGGGGTTATATGGAGATCAGTGTGATTGGTTCCCCCCTTCCCCTCCTGGTATCACTACTCTCATTATTGGTCCTGAGGGGTTTATCTGTCCTGGATTCCCTGTGTTCCCAATTCTTATCTGTACCAGTGTACATCCTCTGGTCTAGCTGGATTTGTAAGGCAGAATTGGGATCATGAGAGTGGAGGGGAGGAAGCATTAAAGAACTAGAGGAAAGTTGTATGTTTCATTGTTGCTACCCTGCACCCTGATTGGCTGGTCTCTTCCCTGCAACCCTTCTGTAAGGGGAGGCATTTCTATACTCGGTAAAAGTAAAGGAATATTGAGGGGATGTGTAAGAAGTAACCGAGTAACAAGAAGCCCCATCAGTAAGAAGACCAAATGCTAAAGTGCAGTATCTAGAACCATGAATGTACCAATACACATTTCTATGACCCAAAAGAAATGACTAGCCAGCTCTGTCATCTTTGCAAAAATGTCATAAATAAAATTTCAACTGAATTTTCAGAAGAAAAAAAAAAAAGAAACACACTCAAAGAATTTCTGCATAATAACAGATAGATTTGGCTAAACCTTGATTTCAGCAGTTTCCAGACTAAGAATAGACTAAGAACAATGGGCTGTTTGTGAGGGATTAGCCACCAAAAACTGTGTGAATAGTAGTAGGACAATATCTGACAGTCCTGGAAGACACTGAAAATATGGCCGTCCACCCAAAGTAGAGGAGATTTTAATGAGCTGGGAGAATAAAAGTTTCCATGACCTTCATTTGCTAGTGGGGCATGACTCGACAGGAGAAGAAACCAATGCAAGCAGCCATTAATAACTGGTACACAGATTGTGCAACATATGGATGCAGAAAATCTTAAGTCATCAAAAAGTAATGGATAGCCTAGGTATTACTGAGCTGAAACGAATCAGTAGTGGCCATTTTAAAGCAATCATATTATTTACAATTCCAGGAATGACAAATTCAAGGGGTGATGTCATATTCATCATCAAAAGAATATCTCAAGATTTCAGTTGGAGAACAATGCTTTATGTGAGAGTATAACACCAACACCCACAGAGTCCAGTTAATAATGCCATTCAAATTTATGCACCAGCCACATAAGCTAGTGAGGAAGAAGTGGAAGAAGTCTGCCACTTTCTTCATCCGTAAATTGATCAAAGATGTACTGATAACTAATTATTGGGCAACTGTTGGGATTCTGAATGGCAAACAAAGTTGGTGGTTCAAAGCAAACCAGCTGCTTTGTTGGAGAAAGAGGAGGCTATCTGTCGTGTTAAGATGCACAGCCTTGGAAAATCATCAGAGAGTAGCAATTGACTCGATGGCAATGATGGGCAGTTTATTCAGCATGTAACAGGATTCATTACTAAAAAGTTTGAAATACTACAAGTACCATCAAAATGTAACAAGAAATATGATGTGTGTACATGCTGTTGGGAAAATAATGTCAACAGACTTGCTCAATGACAGGGTGCCATAAAACTTGAGATATGGCTACATCTGTTTTTCAGTTATGTATTTCAAAATGCTTATAAGTAGGGTAGGCAGAGCCATAATATTTTCAGTGCTTAGCAATACAATAGGCGCGCTGGTGGTGTAGCGGTTATGTGCTGGGCTGCGATCCTCGTGATCGGCAGTCCAAAGCCACCAGCAGCTCCAGGAAAGGTACGGCCTCGGAAACCTATAGGGGGTTGCTATGAACCAGCAATGGCTCGATGGCTCTGAGATAGGACAACACAATATGGATCAGTATAGGTCTCATGGTAACTATAACTTATGCTTTTTTAAAAAACATTTTATTGTGTTTAAGTGAGTGTTTATACAGCAAATTAGTTTCCCATTCAACAATTTCAACACCAATTGTTTAGTGATATTGGTTGCTATTCCCAATGTGTCAGCACTCTGAACACCGGTTCCCTACCCCTCCTTGCCTTTTCATCAAAGCTTCGGGGCCCATGCTGCCTGTTTGGTCTCTAGTTGCTGCAAAGAGCACATCCTTGATAGGTGGGGTGCTACTGTCTATTTTATAGGCCCATCTATTATTTAGCTATAAGGTGACCTCAGGAAATGGTTTCAGTTCCAGGGTAAAAGGATGTCATTAGGTGATGGTCTTAGAGGTTAATCAGATCCTTTTTAAAAAAAAAAGGATCTTTTTAATTAGTTACTCCTAATAATAAATTTGTATTACAAGCCCTAGTCATAGAAGGAAATTATATGATAGTTACTTTCCAAGAGTTAATACTGGGAAAAAATCTAGTTCAACAACAGCATGATCTAAGCCAAATCCAAACTTGAAAGTCTTCTTAATCTTTTAAAGGTTCTTCCATTTTCTCACCTGTAAAATGAGTACAGATTTTCCTCTTGGGTTATGATAGGACTAAACCAGATAAGTGAATGAGTAGAAACAGTCATTCTTATGATCCTGGTGACTATTAGTCTTCGGAGGGCCTGTCAGCTGTCAAAACGGGAAAAACTAGGTACCACTAAGGACTCTTCTGAAGATTGACAATACCTACATGAAACACATACTGCTCAGCCCATCCTTACTAAAACAAATGAGACTCTCAGAAGGAAATGACAGTCCATCTCAAAGGATAAATCAGAGTTGACTGAAGTGTTTTCTCTATCCTATGTATTCTGATTTTCTCAAAAACAAAACATAAAACCCCCCAAACCCAAAAACCCACCATTTGCACTCACCTTTCCACTATAGGCACTGAGCCCATAGGTCGTGAAAGATTTCCCTCCAGCCAAAACAACGTCATCTCCATACTTGTAAGAAGATTCCAGAAGTGACTCCACCGTGAAAGGAACTGTCTCCATGCTCTCCCGGTCTCGGTCCCACTGGAAGAGGTCTCCATCGAGAGAAGGAATGATCATCTTATTCCCAAACACCTACAACAAAAGCGAGACTTTACAAGGGTCCTGGGGTTGATAGGAAGAGGAGCAACTAAAAGCCTGGGTTTGGGGCCTGATGCACTCCAGCAGCCTTCTGAATAGCCAGAGAAGCTACACAGCCCATCAACCAACTGTGAAAGAATGGCGACTCTGCTTCCTGGATCAGCAAAGCACAATTAAACAAACAAACCCCATGGTCTTCAAGCACATCCTGACTCTTCCAAGAAGGTCATCTTTATGCAAGTGACTGACAAAACTTTCTCTTCACTGAGCAGCTGATGGGTTCAAACCTCCCTCCACTCTTTCATTTATAAAAAATAACCAACTGCCATTAAGTCCATGCTGACTCATAGGGGCCCCACAGGACAAAGTGGAACTGCTCCCTAGGGCCTCCAAGGCTATATATCACCCCACCCACAACATTTTATCATGGTTTCTGCGCAAGTCCACACAGCAAATTGTTTTTTCATTTGGCAATTCATATATAAACTGTCCTGTGACATTGGCTGCAATGTTTCAGCTGTGTCACCATTCTCCCTCTTGGAAGAAGATCCCCCTCAACTTTCGCCCTCAGGGCAGCCTGGTGGAGTCGAACTGGTGCCCTGGGAGTTCGCAGCCTGGTGAGCAACCCACGATGCCACTAGAACTCCTGTTCACAAAGCAACAGTGGTCCATACTTATAGATGAGTTACCAAAAGAAGTTTGTGATCAAGTGAATTTAAGAATACTTAACTGCAGAACTTCTTATAGCCATTCATATACAAATGTACACTATGATTTCCTAGCACAGCAATAGCATATGCTGCACTTCCCAGGCAAATCACTGACACAGACTTGGAGATTGGTATCTCGAGTCTGCACTGAGCCTGGTTAACTACGCACTCTGGTTTTATGCTCTGAGTTTTCTTTCCTTTTTTGAACGATGTTTAGTAAGAGTCCTCACGGCGTGGTGGGTTAGGCAGTCATTAGGCTGTTAACCACAAAGTCAGCAGTTCAGACCCAGCAGCTGCTCTGCAGGAGAAGGATGAGGAAACCCACAGGGGCAGTTCTATCCTGTCCTATCGGGTCACTCACTATGAGTCAAAATCAACCCGATGGCAGTGAGTCTATTTTTGGGGGTGCTGGGGGTGGGTCCACAGGGCACCCAGGCACTATTCTGGTGCTTGAGTTAAATCAGTGCGAGCAATACAGACAGTAATCACGGCCCTTGTGGTGGAGTTTAAACTCAGGTGATGGGAGAAAGCAACATCATGAATTAATTATAAAGAATTTTAGTTGATAAATGCCACAGGGAAAATACTAGAAGATTGGAAAATGTATGTGTGTATGTGAGGGGGGGTATTCATAAGGAGGTCAGAGTAGGTCCAATTGAGAAATAATATTTGAGCAAAGATGAGAGCGTGAATCCTTGCAAAGACTCCACGGGAAGCATGTCTGTCCTGTTTGAGGAACAAGGAGAGCAAATAAATCGGAGAGGGAGAGAGAGAGAAGCAAGAGAGAAGATGGTGGCTCAGATGATATTGATACTTGGATGGAGGTAGTAAAGTTGGTCAGGTCTGGGATCTAACTGGAAGATAAAGTCAATCGGATTCCATAGAAGGCTGTCCACAGAGCATGAGAAAAGAAGCCCAAAAGACCACCAAGATTTTGGGCCAAGAATATCATCTCATGGACAAGATACACAAGTTTTGGTACATGGTTATGTGACCTAGACTTCGGGCACTAAAAAAAGTATCTATCTAGTGATAAACATACAGAGATACATGTATATAGATAGATACACACACACACTCAAAGTTTTGTGGAAATGGAGCATAAAATAAGGAAATGTTGAAAAGGACTTTAAGCAAACTTTAGTCTTGTGAACGTTTTAAACACAAGTTTTCTCTGCCTTTTATTGCTTTTGTGCTTTAAGCAACAGAATCATTTCTTTGAAGGGTTAATAACAACAGCTCCACGGCCAGGGAGTCGATTCTGACTCGCAGTGACCCAGCAGGGTGGGCAGAACTGCCCACGTTGGTTTCTAAGACTATCATCTTCCTGGGTGGAGGGAACTTCATCTCTCTCCTGTGGAGCCAAAGGGACCCTGGGAGTTCCAAGTTGGTGCTGAACTCACACATCTCCCTTCTACTACCCTTCCAGGGGCTCTACTGGTGGAGTGCATTACATGTTGGGCTGCTAACTACAAAGTCAGCAGTTCAAAACCACCAGCTGTTCCACAGGAGAAAGATAAGGCTTTCTACTCCTGTAGAGATTTACAGTCCTGGAAGCAATTCTACTGTACGAAGGGTTACTAAGAGTCAGAGTTGACTTGATGGCAGTGGACTGAGTTTACTGTCCTTCCCCCATGCCTCGGGATTTCGAAAGGACAGTTGAATGCCATTATTCTAACCTAGGTTTTAGGTTTTCAGTTCAAATCCTTGTTATCTCTTGCCGGACCTCTCATAATAGCCTCTTTACAATTCTTCTTAACTTGAATGTCCTCAATCCAATCTCTACATATCTTCTAGATTAATCTCTCTGAGACGGTTTAAGCTTGTTATTTACACTTCTCAAAAATCTTCAACAGCTCTTTATTATCGTCTTAATTAAAGACCCCAAATCCTAAGTATGACATTGAACGCCCTCGAAACATGACCTCAAACAACATCTCCATGTTTGCCTTTCATTTCTCACTACGGAAGGAAACTGGGAAACATTACTTAAGAATGTCACACACCATCACTGCACTGTTAGGGCTTCCTTGTCACTGCCAATGTCACTTCTTGCGGGAAAACCTCCTGCCCAACTCTGCCTAACAAAATCCTATCTGACCTTCAAGCTAATATTACTCACGCTTTGAAATTTTGGGAGGTATAAATTTAATGATACAAATCTTCTCAATCCTAATACTATTTTGTAATACGTTTGGCCCTAATTATAAGCTGAAACACCATTAAATTTTCAAAGAACACCCAGACATACTTACCAGGTATGCTAGTGTTCACACAATCTTTGTTACAGAATCTGCTCCAACCTAGTGCGCAGATCTCATTGTCTAATTCCATTCCCCACTAAATGAGACCACGGCTCCTCAGAGAAACGGTTCATTCCAGGGCTGGAGCAGGGTCGATATGAGATCAGCCTTTACTGTTTTACTGAGAAAAGGGTGGGGACATATCACAAGTATGTAAGTGAGAGCTACAAGGAGCTCCCACTGGCCAAATCTGGGGCAATTTGATCACAAAAGTAATAACAAATAGATAAATAACAACTAGGAGGGAAAGGAGGTCTCTTGCTGCAATAAAATGCCTAAGGCTGAGTATATGTGTAGGGAAGCTAAAGGTAGAACAATCAGCATTTTGCAACATCACAGGAAAGACTGGATCAGGCAAGACTCATCCACGGTGATGGAGATTTTGATAAGGAACTATTTCAACTGTGAAGTCTCCCCACAAACACTTAGTTGGTATGACAAATGAAAACAGATAGTACTGATACATTGGGAGGGTTTAACAATATCTTGACTGGGTTAAAAGAAAGTGAACATTATGACTACATGGCAGGTGTGCCACTCTGAAAAAAGCCACTGCAGCACCTCTGCGGCATTCCAGCCAAGACTGCACACCCTGAACCTCATCAAAGGAAACACCAGCCAAGCACAGAATAAGGAGTTTCTTTCTTTTTTAAAGGGAACAGAGACTGTGGTGTTTAAAAATATCACTGTCATAAAAGACAAAAAAAGGCTGTAGAAAAATCCAGATTAAGAGACTAAAATGACAAATACATATAAAACTGGTCCTGGACTAGGTGCTGCCCTGGGGTGGAAGACACAAGAGAGGACAGTATTAGGTCAAGTGACACAACTGGAACATAGAGGGCAGAGCAGAGGAGGGTTTTATCAGTGCAAATGCATGAGGTGCACAAGGGTACTGTGATCGTGTAAGAAAAGGTCTCTATGAGGAAATGCAAACTATTAGCCTATGATGTAAACTGAACATCAAATGGTACAGATGAAAACAAATGAGTGGCAGGGAGGGGAGAGAGTGGTCAGAGGAAATGACAGAGCAACCAGGTTGAACAAATGTTCGGGTGAGTGAATCCGAGCCCAGGGGGGCTTTTTGTATTTCTCTCAAACCCTTCCTCAGGCGAAAGATCCCATAAAGATTTACAGCCTCAGAAAAGGTCTCGATGGGTCAGAATTGACTCGTTGACAGGAGATGATCTATTTGTGCAGGACCCTGGTGGCACAGCAGTTGAAGTGCTCAGTTGCCAACCAAATGGTCAGTGATTAGAACACACTAGCAGTTCCTCTGAGAGAGAAAGGAGTGGCAGTCTGCTTCCATACAGACGCACAGCCCTGACAAGCCCGTGGCGCAGCCTCACTCTGTCCTGTAGGGTCAGCCTGTGTCCAAGTCAGCGCGGGGCAGTGGGCTTGAGGGTGTTTTGGTTTGCTTTGTTTGTGGTTTGAAATGAATTCCAAATAAGGGAAAGGAAAGAGCACCCAGAGCCTGTGAGAGCTCTGTGATTTACCTCAGAAGGTTCATCATAATTCTGGGTAAAGATTTCCATTATTCTTCATGATAGGAAAAAAATCAGACTTCTTATTAAACTCAAATGATATCACCTTGTACCCCAAATAATATCTTAGAGTGTCATTATCATCTTAGTCTTTCCTTTCTTACATAGTCTTCCCCCGCCACCCTTCTTACATTTTTTGATGACAACAGATAACAGATTTAATTTTAATAAATTTTTTCTATTTATCCTTTGTGGAATGTCCTAACTGAAGTTGTCATTGGGAGTAAATTTATGTCTTACTATGCATGCCTGGCAATAGTAATAAGATGGTCCATTTCAGGTTATAGATGGGAAACCAAATATGTACTGCTCTCCACCTTCCAGAGCTGTTGCTGAGGTTAGGTGTCATCCAGTTGATTGGGACTTACCGTGACCCATGGATGACGGAAGGAAGCACTGCCCGGTCCTGTGCCACCCTCACTGTCATTCCTATGTCT